GACAGCCAGCCCTTGCTGGAGCCCTTCCTGCAGGCCCACGTCCACCTGTCCTGGAAGGTGGGGAGAGACAAGCGCCAGTCGGAGGCCAGGCTGCAGGGGCTGCCCGGCCCCGGGCTGCTTCCGCAGCAGCCGCCCACCCTGAAGGAATTGTTGATCAAGGAGGCCTTGGACTGACCCCCAGCACTGGGCTGTGCGTGGGGCCGGGGGAGGCGGGCCTTGGCGGGGCAGTGGGTCTGTACGGCCCAGGCAGGCGTAGCGGCAGGGGTGGGGGAGGGGAGCAGGGCAGGCGCTTGGCGATACTTGGCGCTGGTCTCTGCTGCACTCGTGGAAACGTGCTTGTCAAAGGGCCCGCAATGGCCCCGTCTCGGGGCCAACCCCTCCCGGGAGGGGCTGCCAGGCCTGCAGGGGAGGTAGCTGGGCCCTGCCATGCTGCACTAAGGGACTAGCTGGCTCCTGGGAGCCTGTAACAAGACTTGGTAGGAAGAGGGGCAGAGACCCCCGGAGCGTGTTCTGATTGCCCCTCCCATGCCCCAGCCTTTCAGGAACTACCCCCCTGGCCAGGGCTGCCCCGCACCTTGGCCCACAGCCAGTGCCTCTCCTCCCGGCCAGGCCTGGCTGCTGTAGCAGTGGCCAGAGCCCCGTGGGAGCCTCTCGCAGCCAGCCCTTGGCAGGCCAGCTGCTGGGACATGGGGCAGAAGTGAGAAAGGGAAGCGGCGCCGGCTCTGCTCAGCTCTGTTCAGGCACAGCCAGGCTCCCTGCAGCCCCGGGCCTTGGCCTCGCCCCCAGCAGGCTCCTTTCGTGTAGGTCACGGACCCTGGGTGCTGGTGTAGCAGGGCCCGGGGCAGTGCAGAGGGACGGTGTCAGTGAGCCATGGTGGCTTTATTGGGAGGGGGGAGCCAGGACACTCTGTAACACAGTCAATAAAGCTCATATTCCTGCAGCCCGTGTGTCTGCGTGGTCCCTCCAGTGCAGCCCCAAGCTGGCTTGAGGCTTCTCCCCTTCTGCCCGTCTCTGCCTGGGTCCCCAGCACTGCCAGCTGCCCGGCCTGCTCCCCCAGAGTGGCGATGACTTGTCCAGCTACAGCTTGCTCTCAGCTGGGCTCTGCTTCACCCGGATGACTCCCTCCTGTGCACAGGTGACAGCCAGGACTCCATCCCTGCGCCACAGCCGCCCGTGCACCAGCCCTCGGCACCCGCCTGCCCAGGACAGAGAGAGTGAGATCCGTTACTCTGAAGCACGGCTGCCCCCACACCCGCCGCAGAGCGAGGACTTACCGGCCCAGGGGCTCTCGCACTCGTACAGCATCCAGTGGTCAGCTCGGAAGGGGGCGTGGAACCACATGGAGTGGTCGAGGGACACCATGAACTTGACGGGGTGCTGGTGGTGCGGGAGCAGGGCTGTGCCCAGGAAGGCGTAGTCTGAGATGTAGGCTGCCACGCAGCAGTGCAGCTTCATGTCACACTCCCCTGCCGGGCAACCGGAACACGGGCTCAGCCGCAAGCCAAGCTCTGGGGTGCACGCAGCTGCTGAGGGTTCAGCTCCCCCAAGGAGGCTGTGGGCCAGGCCCCCCGCCAACGCTGCCCTCTACCTTGGCCACGCAGCTGAGAGCATGGGAATGAGCCAACAGCTGCAGAAGGGCAGTCCCTTGGCCTGCCCTGGGTGGGGCAGGCAGTGGCACTGAGCCCAGGGGCATCACAGGCCGGGGAGCGAGTCTGTCTGTACCACTGCCCCACAACCTGTCGAGGCAACGGGCCGCTCTGCGAAGGTCTGTTCCTTCGTCTTGGTTGTGGGGCCAGCGGGCCTCAGGCCTCCCCCGAGGGGCCCGCTCTGGCCACCCTAAGGTAGGGGCAGTTACAACCTGCATTAGCCCTTAGGATGAAGGCCAGTGTGGCTGCTCCACGTTCCAGAAGGGGACGCTGGCGAGTTGAGCCATTTCCTGTTCAGCCACTAGGCAGCGCTGTCTTGCTGGGAGCCTGGCGTAGGCATGAGGACTGCCCGGTGCATGCTGAGAGCTGTTACTTACCAATGTAGCCTCGTGCCCGCACCCAGAACAGCTGCTTGGGCTCCCGAGGCTGCTGGCAGAATATCTCCGGGGGGTTCACAGGCTTGATCTCCACAGGTACCTCCTGGGCCAGAATCTTGTTGAGCCCCAGCCTGTATTTCTCCACCAAGTTGGGATCCCTTCAGAAAACACGCACAAGGGCAGCAGTGCTGGGGTCCCAGCGAGGCTGCCGGGGCGATGGCGGAGCTCCCAGTACAGGCCTGCAGGCCAGGCTGCCTTGGGGGGAATCTCCACGCCAGCTGCAGCAGTGTCGGCTCGCAGCCCCAGAGCAAAGGGGAGCTGCCTGTGGCCAGAGAATCACACCTGCTGGACTTCTCTCTGAGGTGGGTTTCCTCTCCCCAGCCCTCCCCAGCACGGGGGCAGAACTTCCCACGTACTCACTGCAGGTATTTCTGAATTAGCTCTTCCTGAGTCAGCAGCTCCTCTGGGGGTGGCACAGCGGGCATGGCGAACTGGTGCTGCACCGGGCTCTCCTGGCTCTGCTGGAAGGAGGCCTGGCAGATGAAGATTGGCTTTCCATGCTGAATGGCCTTGACGGAGCGAACAGAGAAGCTCTTGCCCGTGCGGGTGCGCTCCACCTGGTACAGGACCGGCACCGTGGGGTCCCCTGGAACAGGGAACGGCCGTGTGATGGGAAGCAGCATCTAGCTCCCCCAGGGCAGCGCCAAGCACCTCAGAACAATGGCTGCTGTTTGAAGGGGGCTGCACTTACAGATGGGGCCCTCTGCCTGGCCCCCATCATCTGCATTAAGATGGGGACTCCAGTCCAGAGCTGCCTTGGAAGCTACCAGCCTGCTGCCTCCTCAGGTGAGTCTCCTACCCAAGGCTCCCATGAGGAACCCTTGCTGCTGCTTCTACGGCGGCAGCTCTGGCTGCTTCGGGCTCACAGTCCCTGGAGGGGACGGGCTCTGCTGGGCTGGTGACTAGCGCACCGAGCATTGCACTAATCCCCATCAGCTCTGAGCTCAGTCACTTCACCCTCCCTCCGGCTGCATACAAGGAGGCAGGGGAGTGATTTGCAATGTGATATCCCAAACCCACCACCAGGAGGTGCTGTTCACCCACCCAGCAACAGGCCCCAGAGCTGTACAGCACTACCCCAGCTTACTCCACGTGTACCAGCAAGGGAAGCTCCCTCACTTCACCACAGCAGCAGCTGAGCACTGCACCTTGATGGGAACCGCAGGGGCCTCCCCCAGCTCCTACTGCTACCTTCAATATCCCCCCACCATGCTCCACAGACTCCAGGGGCAGTGTTGGCTGAAGCGTCCTAGGCAGGCTAACCAGCTGACCCTCTATTATCTCAGTTCTGGCTTGTCCTTGGAGTAGCTGAGCACCTTCCAGTCCTACACTAACTGAGGCGACTCCTCTGCCATGTGGTGGAAGTTCTCTCGTCCTCGGCTGCCGCGGGGCCAAGTCTCATTGCTGGAGCTACCTACTCCATTGCACACGGGGCTGTGTGTGCTAGGATACTGAAGCCACATACGTGCACCTTGCACTTGGACTAGCACCAACTCCCTCCAAGCAGAAGGGGGCTTGGCTAGCCTGCTGTCGGGTTTACCTGCTCGCACAAAGTAACAGTGCAAGGAGTGGACATGGACATCCTCACTCACAGCCTTCGCAGCCGCCACCAGAGCCTGGCCCACTATCTGCCCTCCAAACAGCCTCCGTGTGATGGGGACCCAGTAGTGCCTCCCCCTGCAGGAAGAGGAATGAGGGGCAGAGTCAGAATCCTAGAACTGGAAGGGTCCTCGAGGTCATCAAGTCCAGTCCCGCCCTCAGGGCAGGACCCAGCCTGTCCCGGCCAGGTGTCTGTCCAACCTGCTCTTACATCTCTCCAGTGATGGGGATTCCACAACCTCCCTGGGGAACTTATCCCAGTGTTTGACCATCCTGACAGGCAGGAAGTTTTCCCTAATGTCCAATTAAACCTCCCTGGCTGCAGTTTAAGCCCCTTGCTTCTTGTTCTGTCCCCAGAGCCCAAAGAGAACGATTTGTCTCCTTCCTCTGTGTGACACCCTTGTAGATCCCTGAAAACGGCTCTCCTGTCCCCTCTCTTCTCCTTTCCAAACTAAACAAGCCCAGTTCCTTCAGTCTTCCTTCATAGGTCATGTTCTCTGGACCTTTAATCATTCTTGTTGCTCTTCTCTGGACCCTCTCCAATTTCTTCAATCATTGAAGTGTCAGTTTTGACAAATTTGCATAGTAGAAATAAACCAGGAAACACCTAAGTCTAGTTGCTCTGGCAGTTTTGTATGTTTTTTGAATAGTCTCTTCAGATAGTGAGCTATTGTGAAATTCTCATGGTCACAAGATGTTTTAAAAGTATATTTCTGCCATTTTGAGTTTTGCATCTCTCTAGTCAACAGATTCCTAATGTGGATATCTTTTGCATTTCAGTTGTTGAAGGGCTAGCTTTGCTGGATTTGGGTGTGTCACCCTATTCTGGAGATGTCTTCCATGAAGTAAGTGAACTTGTGTCGTATTTTCTAATACATATTATTACATACTTACTCAGTGCCTTTAAATGTCTGGCTGTGAGTGGGTACTCCTTGGTGCATTTCAAAATATAAATGATTTATATGCTTCAGAATCATGTAGTTGTCCATGTAACAAATATATGCAGTGAGTAGCCCTGCTACAAAGTACAGTTCATGACAACAAAACTGGCTGCTGCAAATTTGATTGACATTGGTGATTACTGGTGATTATTATTACATGAGCAAATTTAAGACCAGTGGAATTCGTAAGCAGCACATAGTCTCTTCACATGCAAATTTTCCTAGAAGAAAAAAGATGCAGATATTGGTTTTATGGCAGTCTAAACAGAATTGTTCTGCACAATATTTTATAAACATAATGCGCTTGTGTACTGAGACAAGAAACCAACTTTGGGTGTGGCTCTATTCAGAGGAGTCATCAACATATTGATGTTGGGTTAGCCATGATAATGCATGTGCTGTCTCTCATCCAGGGTAGCACTACTCTAGTACAATTTTTGGATGATGTACTCCTACGTGACCCAGAATTTTGCAGAAATATCAGTGCTAGCATCAGTACCCTGGTACTTTTCCCGCTCCTCCATGTGAGGCCTATTCCTATAAGCACTTATCCACATGAGAAAACGTACGCACCTGCATAGCCCTTTGTGGACACTGCAGCTGGTGTGATTCCTAGCATTGGCAGACAGACTCACACCAGCTCACTGCAAGCTAACATGTTAAAATTGGCATTGTGGATGTTGCAGCACTGGCAGCAGCTTGGGCTAGTTGCCTGAATTTGGGCCAGAGATTGAGTGGGCTTGGATGTGGACAGCTAGTCTGAGCTGCCATCCATGCTGCTGTTTTAGCATGCTAGCTCGAGGGAAGGTAGCATAAGTCTGTACCGACACTGGGATTCACACAACCCAGCTGCAGTGTAGCTATGCCACCAAAGCTCACATGCATAAAAGAGGAAATACTGGCAAGACCAAGGCTGTGGTCAGCTGGAGGGGAAGGTTCAGAAATAAATTAGGGCTGTCAAGCTATTTAATCGCGATTAATTGTGTGCGCCTCCCCTTTGAAATGCCACCTCAAGGCGCGTTTCAAAGGGGCAGGCATGGAGCCCGGGGTCAGCTGGGGACTCCCTAGCTGATCCTGGGCTCTGCGCAGCATTTCCCCAGAACCCGGGGTCAGCTAAGGAGTCCCCAGCTGACCCTGGGCTACATGTGGTACTGCTGCTTTGAAATGCCACAGTGGTGTTTCAAAGTGGAAGGGGCGCACAAGTGATCCTGGGCTCTGTGCGGTGCTGCCCCTTTGTAACGCGCTGTGGCGTTTCAAAGGGTCAGCGCCACATGGAGCCCAGGTACGCTTCCCCCTCCCGCTTTGCTGCCTCTGTTATATAAGGACAGAATTGACTAGTCCTTAACATTCTTAATGCAAAGGGCCTGGAGAGTAGGTGGTGGAATACACATCTGAATGAACATCTCAAGGAACAGTCACACCAGGTTACTGTTCTGCAAATGTCCAGCCTTGAGCCATCACTAAGACGACAACATCGATTGCTTGAACACTCTCTGAATGAGCCCATAATTATTCAGGGGACATTTGCAATTCCAGAAAAGGATAAAATATAGGAAGTTATCTAGTTGGAAATGGTTTCTGTTGAGATCAATTTTCTATTCATTAATTTAGTGCAGAACACAAAAAGTTGGCATTATGTACAAAACACTTTAGTCCTTTCTAAATAGATTGCTAAGCAATGTCTGTCTTCTAAGGTATGTTACGTTGCTTCTCTGCACTTGAATATGAATTTAGGGGAGAGGGTTGGAAGAAAATAACCCAAATAAGATTAAACTGAGACACCACTCTGAATAAAAATGTTGGATGCGATCATAAAGCTACTTTGTCCTGGAAGAACAGATATCTGCTATTAAGGCTTATATCCCACTGAGCTGGGGAGAGGCGGGTGGGGCCCCGGGCCCTGGTGCGAGGTGGGAGGGGCCCAGGCCTAGGCCCTGGTGCGAGGAGGGGGGGGCCCCGGGCCCTGGTGCTGCCCTGGGAGAAGCCGGGCGCGAGGCGGGAGAGCAGCAGGCCTCGGCTCAACGTCCTGTTCCCGCTCTGACCTCAGGAGGCGGCTGCCCAGGGCCCAGGCGCGGCCGGTGACCACGTGCCGACCGCAGCAGCCCCGGGAGT